TAGCTGCCCTCGCCGGTGTTGGTGCAGGAGGCGCCGTTCTGGCACGGCTTGTGGTTGGTGCAGTAATTCAGGTCTGCAGTGAAGGAAGAAGATTACAGTAAACAGGAAACAAGCGATGAGGCAACTGTGGCGTCTGTTGTTTTAGTGTTTGGATTGTTCCCATAATCCTTTGGTGTTTGAAAGTCGAACTCGAAAACACAACGAAATCCTCTCAGCGCCACTAAATTTAAGTGTTTTCTGGTTTTATTATTATGATTGATATCTCTAATTTCACACAGACATCTGTGGAGTTCCCCGTTCAAAATGCGATTCATGTGTTTTCTTGCAAACATAATTCACGAGTCAGCACGTCTCTGCAGTAACAGATGGAGCTGCTGTAAAACATACAATAAACAACATGTTTCTGTTTGAAATGCTAAAACCAGCTGACATAGTTGGAAACTGTCGCATTAACCACGACAGCAGCAGGCAGGTAATTTAATATTTACAATAATATTTATTCTACTGCTACTATTTCTCTGCAGATCTCAAACACAGATCCACGTAACCCGAATCAATCAGCAGGTGATTGGTGATAGAGGTGAGACGTTTGGATAAGCTGACAGTTCATTTGAAATGCAACATGTAGTTAAGTTTAGGTACCTGAACATTTTTGATCACTTTAAAGCAATAACTGGTCCAAGAGGAGATCAAAAGACACGTTTGCTAAAATTAAATCTCAGAGTAATCATCCATAACCAGATTGCAATTAATGTAAACCCTGAGCAGTGCACGTGGAGGCAAAAAGACAAAGTTTTCAGACAACAGCCAATGAGCTGGCCGACTGTTTGTCATGTGAGCTGTTATTAGATGACTTGGATCAATGCGAGTGATCGGTGTGTGAACATATGTACAAAAAAGAAAAATAAAAGGACTCAGGATGGCGCCCTGAGGTGCCCCGCTGCATCACGACTACAACTTCAGCTCAAACGCTGTCGATCGCGGTGCCTTTGCCTAAAGGTTTACTTTTATAAATGCTGAGGAGCAAATCCTCATTCCCAGGCTGCCAAATCCTGCCGTTAAAACTTCAAATAGAGGACTCAGTGTCCTCTGGGCTCTGTGTCATCGATGGAAGCAACAGTGAGACTGTTTTTCTCCCAGCTCGTCACATATGGATGTCCAGTCAGGCACCAGCAGTCACGTCTGAGGGGAACATTACCCTACTCCACCCTCCCACTGCTCTGTCTGGACTTTGTGGGAACAAAAACCAGCTGGAGAAACATATTTATTGTTCATGTTTTGGTTACACTGGCCCAACATAACTGTCTTCATTTAAACACAGTACATGTGGCTTTTTTCTGCATACATGCAGATGACACACATGAAAACATCCCCTCATAAAAATCTGTTATCAAATGTGGAAATTTGTCTTTAATGTGTTCAACCTTTAAATCTATTGATATTCTGCAGACGAGCAGGGTCAGAGGTCACACCTGTGCATGGCAGCACCTCTGCTTTCAGCTGATCTCAGGTCTGGGATTTAAAAAACGCTGTGGCCAAAAGTTTGTGTCACCAAAACTGAATGTTCATGATTACTCTTCACTGCGTCACAGCAGAAACAATCTGAACTGAAAGTTCAGCAGCAAAGTGCATGAAACACAACATTTGTGTGGCTAACCTGCTGCGGTGCGCGGCTTTAAAGGACCTGCGTATAAAGTAATCGTTGTTACAGTCACTTAAAAACTGTTATTGGCTCATAAAACTAAACCAGCAGCTTATTTCTAAAGATCGTCAGAAATGTATTTAGAGCTGCTGACATGATGTCTGCTGACGTTTCAGGTAAAAATCTTTGAGACAGAAAATAAATGATGCTGAACCAAAAGCAGAATGCAGCCCTCATCTCATATCAGCCCCAAACTTCTTCTATATTGTGAATAAATTGCATCATATCAGGTCATTTAAAGATATAAGTGACAAATTAATCTGATCTTAGTCAGACGCCTCCGGCATCAGAGACGACGTTAAAAACAGCTCTGCACTTCCTTAAACTAAAAATAAAACATCTTTAAAGAGCACTTTTGGTTTTTACTTGCTGTTCGATGAGAGTTATGAAATAAATCATAGTTTCAGCTAAAATGCGTCGCTGTGGGAGGACGGTAACAGCTGACGTACAGGCAGAAAACGTCACTGTTTTCCTGAAAGTTTCAATCGTTGCCGACAAACTGGGTGAATTTTTTGCAGCTCTGAACGTGTGTGGATTTATTTCAATAAACAGAAAAAGGAGAAGTTACAAATCAGCTGCAGCGTCGGTTTGTTGTGGGGGTGTGCTTGAACCTGCAAAGGAAACGCTCAGCCGCCCGTTAACCCCACCAGGGCGACGCAGGTTTACACCCACCTTGGTCGCAGTACAGGCCGCCCCAGCCCTCCCTGCAGTCGCACTGCCAGGGCAGCTTACAGGTCCCGTGTTTGCAGCCGGGGTGTCGGACGCACTCGTCGCAGCTCTTGCCCTGCCAGCCCTGCTGGCACACGCACTCCCCGGGAGACTTGCAGAAACCATGCTGCTCGCTGCACCCTGCACAGATGGCTGATGGGAGGAGGAGGAGGAGG